AAGTGAACTATGACTCTTCTCTCTCTTGCCGGCAGTAACCAATTTGTGTCAATGTTTCAGTTAAAAAATTATTCCCTTCTGCCTACTCAAGTCAGCTTGAATGATCTTTAGTCCTATCACAGAACTTCCTTAGCAGTCTCAGAAGTCTCTATCCATCTATTCAGGACACTTCAGTCCAGTTTCTGTGAGAAGCTGAGTTGTAGGGCACCTCTGTATACACTACGGCATATTTTTCTGTTCACAATACTAAAAATGGCATCTTCTCCAGAATCTAAGCAGATATGATGTGCAGATGTCCATGTTTACCACCACGAATTTAGCAGTGGAAACTGCAGAGGGGAATTAGACAAATCCTTACCTGAGGCAAACACGTAAGTCATTCCACTCACTACCACTCCATTAGATAAATGGCAAGTAAACAGAATTTCTGGTAGAGAAACAACAAACTGGACATCAGACAAAACCATCTCAAAGTCTAATTACTTATTACCCATTGTTTGGACTGCATTTACTTTAAAAAAAAAAATTAAATTTAAAGCATTGATGGGATTACAAGAGGCAATATGCACTTTAGACAAATTGTATTTTAAGGAGCTCTTTGAAAGGGCAGAGAACGGACACATCATTATGACACACCAAAAGCTCAGAATTTATGGAAGGCTGGAGAGAAGCTTCAGTAGAGGAAATAAAACCATAGTTTGGGCAAGGACATTGAGGACAGGAAAGCAGCACAGGGGTCTGCCATTCAAGCTCTTCAAGAACACAACAGTAAGGTAAAATCACAGGTCGTGACATTTTTACGCACTTTTAATGCTTTTCTTACCTATATGGTCCTTGCAGAAGTTGAGTTGATTCTTAGACTAGAAGACCTAACTCTTCTCTTACTGGTTTTCTAACATTGTAATTACACACCATCATCAGGAGAGGAAAACGTACATACAAAGCAGGGAATACTGATATTTCAGATTTTCCATCTATATCCACAAGGTTTGTTCATGCAATTTTGAATAAAGGTTATTAAACTAACACAGAAGCATCAACAGTAGAAAATGAACATCATCAACTATGTTTTCAGCCTAATTTTATCAGGAAAGAAACACAAAAGAGTCTGTTTACGAGAGCAGAGTTGACGATAAAATTTAAGATTTACCGACATAGACAACATCACAAGCATATCAAAACTAGTTTCCTGGAAATACTTGCATCAAATGCAATAGCACATTTCAATTTACTTATATGAATCTAAAACTTCACATCATCATGGTAAATGGATGGCAATTTTTTTTAAACTTAATGTCAGTGGGTTATAAAGATTAATATCCACATTCTTCCTTGCACAAATTAACTATCCAAAACTGATAGGCTAAGACAGAGTCTCTGTTCTTAAGAGCGATAAAAAAACTCTGTGAACAATGGTATCATCATTTATCATGTTTCCTAATTGCAATGACATTTTTACACCATTTCTTTATATGTAATACACCATCACTTAAACTGGCTATTTGCAATCAGACCTCTCTTTCACTTGTAAAGGCCTGATTTCATGTCTTTTTTGTGTTCTGTAGTGCTAGTTTTTCCTTTGAACACAGTATGACATGAAAATAAATAGAAAATATAAAACAGAACTGAAACAAAAAAAAAATCCATTTTCATGATAATATGTGAATCTGAACAGAAGAGACCAAATACACTTGAAAAATAAGAACAGCATTATTAGCACATACAATAAACGCCACTTATTAACACTTAAAAAAAACCCAAACCAACCAACACAAAAAACCCAACCAACCAGGCACCAGACAAAAAAACAACAAAAGAAGTCCTATCCTTTCAAATGCTCTCAATTCACCCTTTTTGATCTGCCACTGAATTCTCCTTCCCCCAGTGCTACGTCAGAGAAGTACACGTATCACAACAGGAGAGATACAATTTTCCTGTGTGCATATGGCTTGTTTCAGCAACCTTACAAGTGGCTTGCAGCGTCACAAGGAGATATTTTCACAGGGAGCCTCAGCTCCTTCCCAGCCTGTCAGCTATAGCTCCCTTAATGAGCTTGGATTCAAGAAACAAAGGGACTAATCCACTTGCTACTGAGCTATGTGTAAAACTTTTGCAGACACTAATGGGAGTTACATTGTACTTTAAAAATGTCCATAGGAGAAATGCAGCTACAAGTATTCAATTTACCCTCCAAATAATCAGTAACCCAGAACAGCTCACATGACTAACATAATTTTACAAAATGACTTGCCATCCAAGGCTCAGGTGACCCTGTGTGGAAAGGAGATACATAATGTAAACAAGAAAATAGGTATTTCCAACTCTTAACAGTTTTGGGAATTACATTTTGTATCAGGTAGAAGAATCTGACCTACAAATCAATCAGAGATGCAATTTAAAGTAATTTTCAAGTAGGAAGTTCTATTGTAAAATTTAGAATTCTGAATCTGTAGAATTACTAGCGAATGTGTGTTAATCATATTTGCAAAAAAGAGCACTTTTTTTTGAATATGATTTTAACACTAATCACTTCCCTCACCAACCTGGAAGATGCGGCAGAGCTGCAGATTCAGACATTCAACTCAAATTTGAGTACCTGAGACAGCACAGTATCAATTTTGATTGAACTATGCAATTAAAAAAACATTCTTCCCCTAATATGCCCATGTTGGTATGTGCTGTAAAATACTATATTCTGTAGAAAAAACAGACTCATTAGAAATTTGTTCTTGCATTCCTTTCATCTCAAACATAAAACAACGTACATTATTTTTCCTAATTACCAAGTGATTTCCAAAAAAGTTTGATTACCATCTTCTATTACACAATTAACTTTTCTATTTAGACAGAGTAATACAGGAATGTTACTCTCTCAGAACACAATAATGGTACTAATACACTGAGGAGTAGACCAAGAGTGGCTTGCACCGTTCCTTATAATTAATCTTAATAATTGCTTCTCTGTACAAGAGTTAATTAAAAAAAAAAAACAAACAAACCCAAAACAACCCACAAACCACAAATAAAAGCCCCTTTCCAAAGCAGGTAGGTGACACCACCACAGGGAAACACCTATTCAGATCACTTAAGAACAAGCATGACACTGTAAGTTAAACAAATTAAATTAACACGTGTCAAAAGGTTCTACCAAAGCTTATAGAAGATGCTCTACACATGGGTTAGAGCAAATATATGAATGTTTACTTTTTTGGACCTCATGATACACATCACTGCTACTTAAGATACAGTTTCTGCTTTTACTTACTATTAAATACTGTCTATCACTCAGCTTAACCAAAGAATTTAAAATACATCAAAAAGCCAGGAGTCTACTCTGAAAAGAGTAGCTGCCCAATGACATGGTTTTTGTCCAATTATTGTTGGAAGGTCTACTGGAAGGTCTCTAACACTATTCTTAAAGACAAGAAAATTTTGAAAAAATATCTGAAATGTGACATTTAAATGAATCATGGTTGTGTAGTTAAAAAGAAACCTTTAAATCAACGAATTTGAAAGGAGAATTTTAACACGCAGGAGATTTCATAGTAGGTTAAAGAGATTCATGTATTTAATTCAGTAGCAACTGACTTGTTTCTTATTGCCTTTGTTAACAGCTCTATAATACATGCAGAAATTTTAGTTTCCATCCAGCAGGAAAGACTTGCAACCTCACAGACCCTATAAGCAACAGGAAGAATCATAATTGTCTTCCATTAAAGGATAACTTACACAAGGAAAAAAAAATAATCCTCTGGCTATTTTTTCCTGTACTAAGATGCTGCGATACATGTAGGAGAGTAGCTCAATGAATAACCAACCTGCACTATTTGCAGTAAATTCTTCTACATTCAGACCTAAATCACTTGCTAGGTATACCAGCTGACCACTATAAAGCAAGGACAACCTTCATGCTCTGAGGAAAAGTCTGTATCCAGCATTGGCAGAGCCAGAAAGGGCCTGAACAGGGATCTCTGCTTACAGTTTTTGCACTGGAATATCCAAATTCCGAACACAAGGAAGAAACAGCACTCTGTCCAGCAGCCTTCAGTTACCACAGTAAAGGTGATATTTTGGAAGATATACAAGTAAGCTTTAGAGCAATTAACATCCAGGCTATCTAAGTTCCCTTTTAGACAAGACTCAACCGTCACGTTTAGTGAGCAAAGAATAATTCAGGAAAATGAACTTAGTTCTGACTTCACTTATAATGGTTTCAAACTACTGACATCTGCAGAACTATTCATGCTACATACATACTGCTGCATAAACCATATAATCCTAACAAACAGAATTAAAGTGCAATGGACATGCCCAGAGAAAAATGGGCAAGCACAGGGCCGCACGGGGCCCACAGGCCATTAGGAAACACAAAAGTTAAACCACATTTAAAGAAGATGAGGTAAGTTTTTTTCTTGCTGTTCATGTTATACTAACTTAAGAGAAGACACAGAAGTTGAATTGGGATCTTTAAACCACAAGAAGTAGAACAATTGTTTTCTATGTTCTGTTTAAATGTTGAAGACACTCACTGCTTCATTAAATACAGTTTACTGCTATCAAAGTGAACACGTTTATAAATACATTTTGTTTGACAAAAATTTGTAATGCTGAAAATGCTACGGTGGGTTCCACAGCAACTAGAACAAAGTATATTGTGAGAATCTCCTGGTTTATGTACATGCACATTAAAATGCACTTCCTTTTATAGACGGAGGCTGCAGAGATCATTCTGAAACTTAGAGCTACATGAAGCTGAGAGAATGGATAAATGTACCCACTGTAACATATCCATTCTGCTTCATGCATCTAGTTTGTTCAAACAACTTCTACCCAGGTCTGTACTGTACAGAGCAGAAAGATCTACCATGTGATAACATTTTAAACAGAAGCAACAGCTTCACAAAACCTTACACTATCTAATCCTCCATTAGTTTCCCATTGAAATGTTATTAAAAGTTTTCAAAGCATATAAGACAACAAGATTCTGAAAATTATCATACCTGATACAGCAAGAAAATCATCAATACTTGTTATATCATCCACAGCTTCAGTAAGAACATGGATGTGATTCTCCCATGTACTCCTGTACATCTCCATGTTGTTTTTCACAACTTGACTTTTTGGTCTGGCAGCAAGAGCTAAAGCAGCATTAATAACCTGTACCAAAAATAAACACAAAACCCAGCATCTAAATAACTGTGTCTTCAGAAACAAAATTTTATGTTTTACTTAAAATTGCAGAGCAAGATTTCTGTTCTCTAAGCAAAAGCATTGTTCAGCTTTCGCTTCTATTCTCA